GGGGGCTCTTCCGCCTCCTCAGGCACGGCTCCCCCGGGAGAGGCTCCGGCCGCCCCCGCCGTCCGTTCGGGCTTTGCGCCGCGCCTGAGGCGCTCCTGCGCGGAGACCGGCTCCCTCAGAAGTCTAAACCAGCCCCGTGAGGTGTGAGGCTGCAACGCAGCTCCTAAGACCCCCAAGCAGCGTCAGAAGCTAGAGAGCGTCGGTCGATGCGGCGGGATTGAGAGGTGGCGGTGGCGGTGGCGGCGGCGGCAGGAGCGCCACCGAACACGTCCAGCCGCTTCCCTCTCCACAGTACGACTCTTCCACCCGCCGCCGGCCCCAATATGGCGTCAATAACAACGCCGCCGATTCAAATCCTGCGGCCTCAGGGCGCGTGCGCATGGGCGGCTGGCCACCCCCGTGGTGCGTTCTTGGGAGTTGTAGTTTTTCACTGTCGGGAGGAATCGGCGTGAAAAGCGATTAGGGAGGTGTCATGGAAACTACGACTCCCGTCATTCAAGGCGCGCGATTCCGAGTTCCGAATTGGAATTTAAATCCCCCTACACAGCTTGAGTGTAAAAGGAACAGAGCGAAAGAGAAAAAAGAAAACGCTCAGAGAGAGTGGGAGAGAAGAAAGTCAACCAGTGCGGAAAGCAGTCTCAAAAAAAAAAAAAAAAAAAAAAAAAACTTATAAAATTGGAGAATAAAGAATTGAAAAGCTATATAAGATTCAAAAACTCAAATTTGACAGAGTATCCTGAGGGAGGATTAGAATATTTGACATTAATATAACTGAGTTTAACAACCAAGTGAGAAAAAAAAAAAAAAAAAAAAAAAAAGCCTTTAAAATTCAGGACATAGTTGTCCTGGTACCTCTCCCACAGTGATTTAACAACCGGGAAAAAGAAAACTAAGTCAACCTAGAAGTTCAAGACTGACTAATTTCGGTAATAAGAGTGCCAAAAACAAAACCTGTCACAACGACGGGCTAGGAAGTGATAAGATTTTGGAACCTATTTAAGACTGCAAGAGAGAACAACAGTAATAGTATCAGGTTACAGGAACCTTGATTGAACTCCATGCTTTGCCCTTCCCAGGTAGCTGCTTGCATCCACCTACTAAATTCTGCAAAGCCAGGTTTACCCTGTAAATGAATAGGATTTGAACGACGTACAGAACCAAATAGTTTTGCTTTGGATAAAAAGTTGGTGATATCAGAAATTGCACTATCTCTGTTGAGTACTGGTGTATATCTTGTGAATGGTAAATATTAAATCCAAAGACACGATGAAATGTCTGGAGAGTAGATATTGGACCCATTTTGTAAGCAGAGAAAAAAAGTTTTTTTCTAAAAGTTATACTTCTAATCAGGTACCTAAAATAAAAATCAAATACAGGATTAATAAAGTTATTTATGTGAAAAACTGTCATTGGTCCTTTGCCTATGGAAGCTATCACCAGTCCAATACAAAACTAGTTATCTATGTGAATGCCATATTATCAAATGATCATGAGTATCAAATACTGGCTTTCAATGCTTATTTATTCCTGTCATTTATTCAGTAACTAAAAGATGTACTATTTTGTACCATTTTGTCTATTATTCTTTACACCATTTTTGGACAGTAGTTTAATATATTCTTGTTTTATAGAACTGTTCAACCCTTCAAAGATCAGCAGTGCTGATCACACTGCCTGTGTCAACAACTAAGTTGTGCTAATTTTAACATATTATACTGTTCGGAAAGTATCTTTGGAAAAAGATCAGCATTTAATGAAACAGCAGCTGAACTGACACCTAATAAGTAAATTTTTACTAAATTCTGAACACTCCTTGAAATCTATGATATGGTGAAAATAACAGACTATACATATTTTATGTAAATGAGTAGGAAAAGCTATGTTGACCAATGGAAAACAAGCAACAAAGCATTTATGTTCCTGGTAAATATTTTCTGAAATTAAGATTTAACCTTAAATTATAGAGCTTACTTTGGAAAAGGAATGTTATGAGTCAAATTGTGTCTCCTCAAAATTTATATGTTGAAGTGCTAATCTCAGGTATCTCAGAATATGACCATATTTGGAAATAGGATCATTTCAGATATAATTAGTTAAGATGAGGTCATACTGGAATAGGGTGGGCCCCTAATCCAATATGACTGGTGTCCTTACAAAAAGGGGATTTGGGGACACAGATGGGTAGAACACCATGCGCACATGAAGGCAGAAACCTAGGTGATGCATCTACAAACCAAAGAAAGCCAAAGATTGTCAGCAAGCCATCAGAAGCTAGGAGAGGGGCACGGAACAGACCCTTCCTCACAGTCCTCAGAAGGAACTAACCCTGTTAGTATCTTGATCTCAGTGTTCTAGTCTCCAGACAGTGAGACAATAAAATTGTATTGTTTAAGCCACCCAGTTTGTGATACTCTGATATTAGGAAATTAATAAAGGGGTGGTGGTTATTTGAGTTACACCCAGTTGCCTGGAAAATGAGGAAAGAGTTGTGTGTAAAGGTGGCAGGAGATATCTGGTAAACCTGACATTTTAGTCATAATAACTACCCTTGCAATCATTGCTGCACTGTATATCTGCAAAAGGCTCTCTGTTATGATTAAACAGTGACAGGGCTGGGGCAGCCTTCCTTTCTATCAGTGGCTCAGGAGCCTGCTAAGAAGCTTACAGGAACAAGAGGAAAACTCTCTGATTCACCTCTGTGTCTTCGCCCAGGTTCTCTTCCATACTTGTTGCCTGACTACTTTAAGACTCAACCTTCCCGGAACATGTCAAGGCTGAATTCATTTTATAGATTCACAGAAAAAGAAACACCTATCTGTGCATCATCATTACCCTTCTCACATTGTAATACTGCAATTCTCTGCTCATGACTCTGCCTCTGCCACCACTGTATTAGTGCCTTGCCAATAGTCTAGTACCTTGCACACTTCAACAAATACCCATTGAATGTTTCTCAAACATTTTTTAATCACCCTATTCTCCCAGTAGTCCACATTATACTTGTCCCTTGAGATAGATACCTACTAAAATATAAAAGCAACACTTTTGGGGTAGAAGAAAACTGTTGAAGGAAAAAAACCCCTAAAAACATTTCTTAGACTAAAATTAAAAATAAAAATAATACTTGAAAGGCCATAAATCTTAACATCACCTTAAGTCTTAACAAGTTTAGAAGTGAATTTTTATTCACTTCTAGAGGCAAGGAGAACTATATTTAACGCATTAATAAGTTGAATCAGGCCACATGAATCTAAATATATAGTACAGCTAAAGTCTCCAGTGACCCACACAGACCAGAATTGCTCTTGTTGGGACTAAAAGGCCCATGACAAGTTTTAAAGGCTTGAAATATTTAGAATAGCTTTGTGACAATCCAGCAAGTATTTTCTGATTTGTACAATCTCTGAAGAAATCAAACTGCTTTACCAAGTTGCTGGTCTATGCTTGGTATTAGACTTTTCTAACACCTCCCAAAATATTCCCCAGGATCTGATTCTGGTGAGTCATTCTTTGACTAAAGCCAATAAAAGTATACATCACTGGATGACACAAAAATCTCATAATCTTGAGCCTGAAGATCGTCTTTGTACCATAAATCATTTTCAAACAATTTTTCTGACGTCAAATATAGGTAAATGCAAATATGTAAGGTGGGGACAGGTGTTTGCTGACTTTGCATGTTGAGTTTGAGTAATCGGTAGGTTCAGCATTAAGTATAGCCATTCTAATTCAGGAGTCACTTCAAATCTATATTCAGAGCAAGCATTGCTGAGGGCAAAAAAAAAGTTTAATCATTGTGTAAATGAGCGCAGTAGGGAAGAATAAACCTTGTAATTCCACATAACATCTTGCAGGCTTGCTGGAGTCTCTGAGAAGCACTGTGTCTGGAATACTAGATACTATTTTTCATTGGCCCTTTTGAACTTTGGTTTCATTATTTTGCTTGTGGTCATTATTTTGAGTTGACTGGATAGACCATAGAGTCATCAAAACCATATATCTGTGCATGATTTCTGGAGGTCACCTAGTCTAGTCCCCAGCCTCGAGGTATGGTTACTGGTGAACTACTCAAGCCAAATCAGTGTCTATCTGACTCTTTCTAAAGAATTTTCAGAAACAGCATCCAAAATCCTGTTGTGCAGGCAACTGCAAATTCTCTTATATTTAGCTTTAACCTCTCCATCAGAGGCTGATTTCGACTTGTATAGTACTCTATAAAGAACAGTGCACTCTAGGAAATAAGCATGATTCACTTATCCTGAGGGACTTCAAGAGAAACCACAGGATAGTCTCTGGACAGTCAAAATAATTTTTTATGAAGTCGTTTTCAAAAAAATTTTCATACTTTGCTCAAGTATGTGCCCTCAAGGACCTGTATCCTTACAGAAACTGTTTACTCTTTACAGAGAAGCCAACCATGTTTAGGGATCTTATTTCTCAGCCCAAACCAATTAGAAGAATAAAGAAGAGGGAAAAGGGAATTGAAGATGCTATATATATGCTGACTACAACAAGCAATACAATCATTGGAGAGCAAAGAAAGAGACTGTAAAAAATAACTACAAAATTCAAAAAGCACAACAGCCTGGAACCACTGAAGTGTCAGTACAATCAGCCCAATGACACCTGAGGCATTACTGTATTATTACATCACCATATAATAAGGGTAGGGTTGCCAGATTAACAAATAAAAATATAAGATGCCAGTTCAATTTGAATTTTATAAATAAGGAATAATTTGTTAGTACAAGTATGTCTCAAACATTGCCTGTGTTTATCTGAAACTCTAGTTTTACTGGGTATCCAGTATTTTTATCTGGCAACCCTAAATAAGACAGGGACACCAAAGTCATAAGTAAACTGCGCTTAGTATACAGTTCAAAAACTGTGTAACTAATACGATATTAGAAAACTTTTCATCGATAGTATTTAAGCTTAAGAAAATCAAAACTTTCAGTTGTCTGGAAAGTTAATTAATGTGATATACTTTGAACCATGCATGTTCTAGTCTTTGCAGAGTGCCAGGCGTAAAATAAAGACTTAGCATTAGATGAGGAGTGAAAAGCTTAACACACCATCTCCCCATTGGAGAGCCCTGAAGGTTGTCCCTAGCCCCACCTGATTGTATAGTTTTAGAGTTCCTTCACACCTTCTCCTGCAGGTGTCAGTTCTGTTGTCTTGCTTGAGTCCAAGCCTGACTCAGAGGTGGTGTCACTGTCCGTGTCGGGCTCCCATGCCCTCTTGTGCCTGTTTTCCTGGGCTTCCGTGATGCCACCGTGTAACTTCCCTGATGTGGCTTTTCAAGAGAATGAGATGATGCCTACGCTTCCCTGATATTTTTGGCTTCCTCGGCAAGCCCGTTGTTATACGGGGCAGTCAGGTGTGTGGTGTAAAGGAAATGAAGAAACAGGCCCCACTCTTCCTCCCAGG